GAGTCGTACGAAGCATCTATAGCTAGTGTAGAGTAATTCAAGTTTTCATATGTGATGTTCGCGATGCCAAGAAAAAGTGGCACACTCGGTGGGGTGGCACTCTCGGTGGTGGAATACGTTATACATTTTCTTTAGAATACTTAAAGTATATATAAAGTTCTATTCTATTCTATCAAACTTTCTCAAAGCGTTGTATACCTTTCCCTCGATTGCTTAGACATAAATTATTAAATTATTTGTAAAACTCAACGCGGAGAGGATATTATTAGATTCACAAATATGTTTGGAATGAGTCACACCTTGCTTTCATTTGCGCTAAGAATAAGAGCATAAATTCATAAATCGATAGAAGTTCAATCAAGGTACAGTCACGAAGGCTTAGATAAGAGCTAAGTAGAAGTTTTAGACCTAACGCTTTTAAGATAGCCTAGATACAGCTAGAGCGGAAGATAATAACGAGGGAAGATTTCAAAGGTAGATTAAGGGCCCTCAAGCATAGTAGTAGCGTCTAGAGAGGCCTCGTATAGTTTCAAATCCAGGCGTGGATAGAGAGGATTTTATTTTGTAGCTAAAAGGTTACTCAACTTCAAGGTGGCAGAGAGTACAAAAGAGTAGACATCCAATAATTTATATCTCAATATGACCACAGTAGTGATAGGAGATACCCCTCTTAACAGGGACTCTGCTAATCGACCGCTGTATTCTATGCTGCAACAGGCGCCGCTTCCAAGAAATCTGGCTCATTCCCTCCATATTATAATATGAGAAGAATTCATTGGTTCCAATACCTAGATTTCAAGTTTGTGATCCTCCAATCTAATTCGCCCTTACCACCCTTACCAGTATAGGTTAAGGGGGTCAGCGTTATCTTAGTCATTGTGAATGGAGTACCCGAACTAGATGTGCTGCCTACGACAATATCAAACAATAATTTGACATCCACCGTGACCTTAGGAGTTGCCCTCTGAACTCTATGGGTAATAGGATTGGCGCCCAGCGTAAACGTCCCACTGGCCGTGTTTCCACCAGCCGCCACATGGTCAAGTCGCAAAGCACCGTGGGGACTCCTGGGAACATCCAGCGGTTTGCCAGCAGTACCTGCGAGCGTCAATTTTCCTTGCGGTGGCATTGGCTTTACGGTGAAATCGACTCCTCCCGCTTTGTCTCGAGTGGCAGTAACTAGAAAGTCCACCCATGCGTTGAGGGTGGAGACAACATTTGCGGCGTCAAGGAATTCGACAGTATAGTCGAATGTCACATGAGATGAAATATCTGGGCCTTTGCAAGAAGCCATCGCAAATATGCTAGCAAAAGCTAGCACTGGTGCTAGACGCATTTTTGTCTTGGTAGGAGATGTACTAATGTTTGTAGTAAAAGGGCACCAATCTATCTAAATTTAGTTGAATTTGACACCATAAAAGCAAAGATCTTACAGCTACAGAGGTAGGTGAGCGAGGAGCTTGTTGCTAGCAGGCTAGAAGATCCGTTGCTTTGATGATGAGGAAGCACGAAATACGTGCTAGTTGTAGTCAGGCTGATTCAGGTGTTTAGAGAGCGACTGTGGGTAGAAGTAGCAAGGGGGCCATGAACACAATTTAATATATCATTTAAACGTAAAGGGGGGGGGGATGGCGCAGTGGTGGAGCGCCTGGAAAATTTTCTGCTGTCTCACGTCAGCAAAGATCGAAGGTTCGAATCCTTCTCCCCTCACAACCATATTTATGGTCCACCCACATGAGAGAGTTACTCATTAAACTACCTATTCGACTGAGAGAGTTACTCGTTAAAACTTGAGAGGAAGACTCATTTAAAGTGAAAGATCTGAGAGAGTTACTC